AAGACTGCTTTTATAACCAAGTTTGGCACTTATGCATTTCTGCGTATGCCGTTTGGCCTTTCAGGGGCACTGGCAACATTTCAGCGATGTATGGACATTGTGTTAAGGCCTGTTCTTGGAAAGTCCACATTTATCTATTTAGACGATATCATTATTACTAGTGATAATCTCGACCAACATGTACAGGATTTAAGACGGTGTTTTCTTTATTATATGAGGCCGGTCTAAAATGTTAATGTCGAAAAGTGCAAATTTGCAGCCCCTGAATTAAAAATTTAGGTTACAAAATATCTCAGAAAGGAATCGAGACAGACGAATCAAAAATAATTGCTGTACAAAAGTATCCGACTCCCAAACACGGCGAAGAAGCTCTCTTCTTTTCTAGGACTTTGTTCATATTATAGGTCCTTTATAAAAGATTTTGCAGCTATTGCTGAACCATTGTTAAAATTAAAAAAGGAAAAAAGACAAGATTCTCGTGGACGGCCGAAGCCAATAGTGCTTTCGAAAAATTAAAAGCAAGCATTAACGCAAGCCCCTGTGTTGAAATTTCCTGAAAAGGATGAGAATTTAGAAATTTCAGCGGATGCTTCGGATTATGCGGTAGGAGCGGTACTTTCGCAAAATCAGCAGCCCGTGGCATTTTTTTAGCCGAACTTTAAATCAAACACAAAGAAACTATTTTCCGCGACCGAGAGAGAGGCACTTGCAGTTCTGTTAGCAGTGCAAAAGTTCCGAGTCTATTTTGGAAAGGCGCCAATAACAGTGTACTCTGATCATGCAGCGGTATTTAGATTGTACTCAGGAAAAAACTTATCCCCAAGGTTAATAAGATGGGCACTCAAGCTACAAGAATATAATCTGGTAATCAAGCATACCCCCGGAAAGGAAAATATCGTAGCACATGCCCTATCCAGAATAAAAATAGATGAAGAAAGTAATACTGTAAAGGTGGCAATGCTCACAGCATGTACAATAAATTCCTGAGAAACTGTAATAACCGAACTGGGTAAGGATCCTGAGTTTGGAAGCATTTATGAGTATTTAAAGGATCCTGAAAATTTTAGCCACCAAGATATTGTGGCGATAAGAAATAGGGCGGCCCATTACGAACTAATAGATGGTCTATTATTTTATACAAAAACTACGAATTCCAACAACGAATTTCGACCTGTTATCCCAGCTAGTCTTAGATTAAATATCCTGCAGGAGTTGCATGACAGCCCTTTAGCTTCTCATGCTGGTATTCGAAAAACTATCCAACGCGTACGCGAGGCAGTCTATTTTCCTGAACTGCAAAAGTTAACAAGGGCGTATGTCCAGTCCTGCCCAACATGTCAAGCAGTTAATTATATTAATTTCCGCCCGGCCGGGTTTCTAAATAGTATTAAATCCGAATTTCCAAATGAAATAATTGGCATCGATTTATTGGGCCCTTTCCCAAAAAGTCAGTTAAATAAAAGTCGCTATCTCCTTGTTATGGTTGATCATTTTAGTAAGTGGACCGAAATTGTTCCCTTAAAACGAGCCTCCGCGAAAGAATATACTGATTCTATTTTAAATAAATATATTTTAAAATACGAGGTGCCCCTAAAAGTTATATCGGATAATGGTCCTCAATTTGTAAGTAATGTATTTTGAAGACATGTGCCAAAAACTGGGCATACGTCATTTAAAAATGGTCCCGTATCGGCCGCAATCAAATCAATATAGCGGAACGGGTCAATAGAAATATAGTGAAAATTATCCGTAGTTATGTTAAAAATTTTCATAAAAGCTGGGATAACTATGTCAATGAATTTGCTTTCGCCCTTAGGACCGCAAAACATGATACAACGGGCAAAACTCCTGCTGAGTTATTTTTAGGCAGAAAGATTATAACGCCGTTAGATAAATTATTTTATGTGTGCAACAAAGAGCCCCAGAATTTAAAAATGGGTGATATAGAAAAACTAATTAAAGAAGCAAAAAAGAATACTGAAGTAGCACAAGAGAAAACAAAAGCTGTATTATGACTTGAAACGACGGGGAGTACCTTATAAAGTAGGGTATGAAGTATTAAAAATTAAGCATTCACTTTCTTCAGCACCAGAAGATAAAAGTGCCAAATATTTTCCACGATTTGAAGGACCATATGTCATAGAAAAAATAACTCACGCTGTAGTAGTGTTAAAAGCCAGGAATGGTGAAACCTGCTCCGCAAACATTGATCAAATAAAACCCTACTATGATCGTAATAAAATGCAAATATTTACAGATCTTTTGCAGGATCCGGCACGGCAGGCTCTGCAGGCACAAGCTCCAGAGGTGGAACAACGACGAGCACAAGGGCAAGCCATTAGGAGGCAGGAGCAATTTAAAAAAAAAATTTCCCCGCTGGAAAATTGAAGGTAACAAGAAAAAGAAGCTGTTCCACCGTCCAGAAAAGAGAGCTCAAGAACACCCCCACAATGAAGAAGGGAGAAGTACGACGAATCCAAAGAAAGCCAGGAAAAATAACAGCAACTATAACCCGGCTCCCAAACAGAAGATGAACTCATCGGACAGGACTCTCTGCAGCAAATGTCGCCGAACTGCGGAAGGGCCACCAGCGGCGGAGGAAAAGATACAAGGAAAATTTGAACGGCCAGCAACGAGAGAGAAGTGTCCCGGTTCCGCCAAGACCAGCTGCCATCAAACGGCCAAGACCACAGGCAGAGGCTAAAAAGAAGGTCTTCAAGGGTGACCAAACTGGAAGGAAAAGAAAGCTCATGGAGGAAGGAACTGAAGGGCGAACCCGCACAAGAAGGAAGATAAACCAAACACTAGTCTTCGCTACCTTCCAGGACTGGACAGAAAGAAATGTCCGAATATCACAAAGATAAGTAAAACTTTATGTTACTTTGAAACCTTAAGTTAATAATCCCTCATTCTTACTGCAAGTGGCAGAATTTCAAGAACGTTTTACCTCATGTGAGGTCTACCTTTATCGCCAAAAAGGCGAGAAATGAGTTGTTACCTATTTTGGTATTATGTTTTTCAATTACTCGCGAGTAAAACTAAATTAATGTATAATAGGAATGTGTAAATACTTGAATATTGTAAAAGTTATTGTATAAAATTTTATTTAAAACATTCTGGCAAGAAAGAAGTTTTAGTCTGAAAGACTTTTGAAATGTATTATTTCAATGTAGAAGAATTGGCACTTGCTTGGAAAAGAATAGAAGTTAACAATGTACTACTAATGTATGTTTTTAAAAATGCGTAAAATTAACGGCATGTTAATATGTTCCTTATATACAATGTGAACTGTTATTTTAAAACGTTAAGAAATACTGTGATATGTTAAAAGTGAAAGTAATGCCAAAAAATTTTAACTTATTTCGTGTGACTGTAAAAAGATTAAATTCATGTGAATATGTGTTAAAGGTTGAATGAATGTAGTTAGGCTCTCTGACGCTACACTTCAGAGTTAGCCACTTTCAGAATAGTATCTCAGGGTTTAGAGATGAATATAAGGTGTGTTTATGAGGTCTTGTTATGTTGAATTTTAACACGTTAGTGTTTTGATTGCAGGCGGTAGTGTTGAACACCTTGTACATAAACACATTCGTGTTTGTGTTTTCTTTTACAACACATGTCAGAGAGCATGAGGAGATAATTAAATAAAGTCATGAATGAAATAAGAATGTTAAGAGAAATATAAGTATTCATGTTACTTGCCATTTAATTGTGTAACATTTCATTAAACTAGTTTTCCTTCCAGATCTCTGGAAGGAACCAGATTTCAACTAAGAACTCCTGTTTAGATGCAGTACAGATGAAAAGTAATTGTCCACGGAATTGATAATGTAAAAAAAGTTTTTTTTTTTTTTTAGAACTGTTTGTAAAAGATTGGCCTCGCATTAGATTCTAGAGCTAAAAGTTTTCAACAAGGTCGTTTTAGACCTCAGTTTCAAACTAATTAACTCTGGCGGGAAGTATGTAAGGATCTTAAGTTTTACTAACGTTTATTTTATTTTAAATCTTTACTATCACTTCTTATTTTCTACTTCCGGCCAGAATTAAAAGCTTTAACTTATTTATGCAAATTTGTCTGGCGAACACCAAGTACTTAAGTTGTGGCTTTTTGCCAAGCAAGAGAGAGGAAGGAGCTATTAGAAGCAGGCTGCTTGCCATAGCAGTTTTACTCGGTTGCTGGTTGCCTTCAAGGCCAGAGGTTTAATCCTCGTGATAATTTTTAAACGTATTGTAGTGTTAACAGTTCTCTGTACTACATACGGCTTCCTGTTAATATACGGCCAATCTTCCACATTTATTATTCCAAATTTAAGTTAGAGTTTAGTTATATTTTTATATTCTTACGTTCAGACCACAAGTAGTTGGTCTCTGTATTCCGAAGTACGGAAATTATTGTAAAGAGTGAAAAATAAAGGGTTTTGTATACCCTTCCTGTGTATCTTGTCTACTTCCCACAGTTATTGAACATAGCTTTAGTAAGCTCCCTGTTCCGAGTCAGGTCCTTGCATGTTCCCAAAGAAAGTAAGACAGAACATTGAACCTGATAAATCAAGCAATCAAGATTCTACTATAACCTTCCTCATTTCAAAATTATGTACATCATTCCAGTACTTTCAGGTTAATACCTTCAACAAGAATGATGATGACAGAATAATATCTTAAAATGCCCTCTATGCTTTTAATTGCACTAAAAAGGAATTCATAAAGCTTCTTTTCAGATATTAATTTTACATATTAAATGAAAAATACCTAGTTTATTGCATCAGACACATGCAAAAAAAAAAATTTTTTTTTTCTTAACTTACTAATTTTTATATATAAACTATTCCCTGCAAAGCATATTAAATGCAAATAAAATACCTTAAATAAATTAGCAACATTAACTGTAAATCTGCATATACAAGTATATCCATGCTTATTTATCTATATATGTATGCAGAACAATTTGAATATTAATTAATTATCAGTTTTAATTATAATGCAAAAATTATTTATTTTACATGAGGCAAAATTATATCAGCATCTGCTGCTAATTGCTGTAAATTTTTCAAAGGGCTGCTGACACTTATCAATCTGATAAGAGCAGGATTAGAATCTTCTGGAAGAGAACTCAACAACTCTGCAGCATCTGTAAGCAGCAATACTCCATGATATGGCCTTTAAAAAAAAAAAAAAGAAAAAGAAAAAGAAAAAAGAAAGAAACTGAATTAAGATGTAAATGGAATTTATAAATTTGTATTTGTAAATACAAATGTTTCATAAAATAAAATATATCCAAGAGACGTACACCAAAGTTCAGTTACAAGTAGCAATAGTATTAAACTTTTTTGGTATCAATTTTATTGAAATCTATACAGCAGATTTTGAGAAAATTATGGCATATGTTTTTTTTTCATGAGGTACATAGGTGCATATAGTGGCTAGTATATATATAAATTGAACCTGTATTATGGGGAGAAAAAAGTTTGAATTTTAAGTATCTTTTAAATGTAACAAATGCAATAGAATAAAATATTGAAAAAAATCTTAAAACTGGTACAAACTGCTATGAAACTAAGTATATAAAATGAATATAGAAAATGTAGTTTATTACAGAAGAAAGAAAAAATAATTTTCTACACTGTAATTTTCAGTTTATTTTGATATTGCAAATTTCCATAGTAAAACGGCCGTTTTTCATGATAATAATTTTTTCATGATATAAATGTTAATAAGAATCCTTACATAACACTACTTTAAAATTTCACTAAAATTACAGCAATGTAATTTGTCTTCTAATGTGTAATTTTTATTTATTATTTTTTTAATAGCAGAAAAAGGGAATGCAGTTCTATTACTTTGTGGAAAGTCATTCATTTATATTACAGTTTAAATATTACTTTGGAAAGGTAATAAACTGTCATACTTTAGGAATTAATCTTTCACTCTCCAATTCATGGAAAGCAAACTATACTTTTCATGGCCTGAGCAAGTACATGACATTTAACTATAACAGCTCACAAATACATGCAACACATTACAAGATTATCGTTTTATGAATAATAAGTTGCTTTGCACTTTATTACAAATAAAGTCAAATTATATGAAGATTAGCTAGGCATTTTTCAAAAGCAGTTCTCAAATTTGTACTGATAATGCTAGCTGATATAGTTATAAGTATCATAACAAATTATATTTTTGAACAACTGATTTAAATTAAAAAGGCAATCCAATCCAAAAAAAAAATTTTTTTTTTAATTTAACAAATCTATATAATTTTCAAACAATTTACATTTATTCAACAAAAATACTCATAAATAGTTTTTTCACTTTAATATGAATCTTCGAAGAGTATTTCAATATCTTTGAAAAGTATTTCCTTGTTAAATCATTAAGAAATTTCCATCAAGAAATTTAAACTTTAAGTAATGAAATATTTACATTCTATTGGCATAAATTCACACTTTAAAATTAATTATACATAACCATTATTTATCTGTCAATTATATTAACATAATGAAAAGGATTAAATAGAACTTAACTATTAAGGGAATGGAATTACTTAGATTTTACAACTAATTTACTATGCTTAGACCTGAAAGTGGAACTGAAATTTAAATATGAATTATTTAGCAAATTTCAAAAATTTAAAATTTGGGCATAATTTTTATCAATTGTAATTGATTTTCACAAAGGAGTGGGGAATCAACAATTGATTTCAGAAAAGGCTGTACAGTATGATGATTGCAAAAGTGAAAGATATTAAAACTAAATAACTACAAATATAATTTAAGATGTGTTAATTTATCTTACTTTAAATCCTTCAAACATGCCTTTATACATTGTGGCTGAAAATGCAAAAAATTTAATTACTGAGAAAGAAGACATTTTTTCTGACATAAATATCATCATTTAATCACTTTACCTCAACTAAAAGTCTTTCATCCTGTAAACGGTGTACTTTATTAGGCAAACAAAAGCTTAGTTCTATCCATCCATTGATTTTCAAATGGACAGTACCACTATCTTTCAAGCTAAAACATTATTAAAATTATATTAAGAGCATGTTAAGAATATTTCTGGAATTTTACAAAGCTAAATAATTAATTTTTAGATTGTTTTATATGAAATTAAATAACATACCATTCAAAAGATGTTTTCAAATGATTAGCAAGTTCACTTCTTGAAAGTATTAAATTAAATGGTGACTCCTGATTATCTACACAAAATAAAATGACAGTTGCAAAATGTAATTTGACTTTCAAAACTATTAACACTTCATTATTAAATTTGGAACATAAAACTTTATAAGACAAAAAGTAATAATAAATTTCAAGCTACAGTAAATGATTTTTTTTAAAACAAATGAAAGAACGTTTTCATGCATGATAGTACTTTATAAACTTAAGCTACCTATTAACTTATGAAAATAAATGCTTCTAGAAAATATGAAATATTGAAATAAATAGTTTTAACACTTCTAATAATAAAATTAAAATATGAAATATTGATAACATGAAATAGTGACATAAATAGCTTTAATAATAAAATTCAAATATACGAGGGTTGGAACTTTAATAGTGGCAACTATTTATTTACAAGGAATACAAAAGTGATTCATGTCACCATGTTTTACAGTCCTTCAATATAGTTGCCAGCATTGTGTACAACCCGTTTCCAACGATGTGGGAGTCGCAGAATACCTGTAGCAGTGCCTGTTTTGTTGATAGTTTGAATGGACCGGTCTACTGCCTCAAGAATCTCAGGAACAGTTTGGAAGCGAGTGCCACCATGTGGTTCCTTCATCTTAGGAATTAAGTCATAGCCACAAGGGCTTAGATCTGGGGAGTATGGTGGATGGTAAAGCACTTCCCAGCGCCATCGCTTGAACAAATCAGTCACAGCTTGCGCTGCATGCAGCCGAGCATTGTCATGCAAAATGAGAGGAGCGTTCTGCAGAAAGTGTCGCTGTTTTTTTTTCTTAAAACTGGTCAGAGATTGTGCTCCAAAAATGAGCAGTAATACTGCGCAGTGACAGTCTGCTGTGGGGGAACGGTATGCGTACACGAGAATCACCATAACTTTCACATTGCTGGGGTTCTGACGAAATTTCAAACGCCGTGGTGACCCGTGATGACACCATTCGTTTGATTGGCGTTTCAGTTCTGGCTGGTACGATCGGGCCCAAGTCTCATCCCACATAATGATACAGCGTAAAAAAAGCATCTCCTTCAAGCTCATAGCGCTCCAGGTGGGTTCGGCAGCATCGCATCGTAGCCATTTCTGCATTTCCGTCAATTGATGTGGAACCCATCGTGAAGCAATTTTTCTCATGGGCAGGCGTTTCTTCAGAATGTGCAGCACAGTCATATGCGCTAATTCTGCTTGTCCGGCCAGCTGATGAATCGTTTGGCGGCGATCACTGTCCATTAACGCGGCAACAGCTTGCACGTCTGCATCGCTGACACTCGGACGACCTGGCCGCAGCATGTCTGCCACATTTTGGCATCCTTCATTGAATGCTTTCACCCATCTTGCTACGGTTCTGTAAGGCAATGCAGATTCCCCGCAAGCCTCTTGAAGCCCTTGATGACACTGTCGTGCTGTACGACCTCTGGCACATTCAATTTCTATCCAACATTGTTGTTCTTGTTTTGTAAACATCCTGACAACACTTACTTTAGACCGCGAGCTAATACAAGGATCCATTCTTCGTGTCACTCCGCATGCACGTCTCATAGGCAGGACGAGTCTTTTTGTTGAGAGGTAAGGTAGGTATGTAGTTTACATGGTATACGCGATATTCTTTGGTTTTGTTGAGTAGCGTTTTTTCAGCTGTGTTGCCACTATTAAAGTTCCAACCTCGTAGAATTATTACAGTAATATTAAAATAGGCATTACCTTCAGGTAAAGATGCTATATCATCATGAGCATTTTGCATAAGTTTTACTTGTGATGTCAAATAACTGCAACGGCATTCTTCATGCTTAATAGCAACAGACAACCTATGACTCAAATCATGATAGCAATCAACAATGGAATGACTAGCATCAGCCTGAAAACATTAAAGCGTTTAGGGGGGAAAACTGGACAATCAGCATGAAATCATATAAGCTCACTGTTATGGCACAATAATTACAAATGATATACACTGGGGGGGGGGGGGAATTAAAGAAACAATTATGAAAACCCTTGTAACTTGAATGTCCAGGAGTTTCTGCAGGAACAGTACATATTCATGATGGATAGTGCTTTAAAATCCCTAGAGGGATATGTGGGCTTTGCAAAGATGCAAATTGGCATCCTAGTGCATTCCACACATGTTCCATCAGATTTAAATCTGAAAAATATGTGCTCTACGCCATCTACTGAATTCTTCTGCTCTCATGCTAATAATGGTCACAAGTGCAGCACAATGGGGACAAGCATTATTGTCCATTAGGGAGAAATTACTATTGATTGCACCCCTAAAACAACTTAGTATAAGAATCAAGAACCTGATCTCTGTATATTTCAGCATTCGTAGCTGCAATAGTAAAAATACATAGGCTACTATGGCCATTCAGAATGCCTGCCTGCCCATACTGTGATTTCTTCCTTTGTACTGATTACTTTCATGAAAGTTTTCTGGTTTTCTACGTGCATTGCTCTCTCCAGACTATAACATACCTGGAATCACTTTTTATACAAAAACAAGACTCAGTAGAGAAAATCTGGCTCCAGTCCATGATACACCAATCACAATGATCTTTGTGCCATTGCAACTGGGCTTACTTCACAGCTTAAGTTGATAGGATGCAAATCATGAGTTATCTTGCACACAACATTCTGCCTGTCACTTAGGGTATTGATGGATAGTGGAGTTCCTGTAGTTGCAGTAAACTTGCTTTGCCTTCTGAAATGATGCCAGTCATCTACTTCTTTTATTAGTGTAGCCAAATGGTCCTGCGAGTCTTTGAGGTATATTTTTGACCTTGATCTGTTTGCCTATATACACCACCAGTGTTTTTTCCCAGATTCTTGACATGATGTTTCTGGTTACTTTTACACCACATACATGCATTAAAATTTGTCCTTCTTCCGTTCTTCCAACCATACATCATTTTTGACAAACCATCAGATATTTTTTCAACAATATATTCCACTTTCCACATGCGAAACTTTTAGTCAACTACTAGTAAAATCCTTAAAATTAACAGCTGAAGCAACTCTATACATTTCTTTCCACATGTGCTGAATTAACAGAAATTTGCAAATTCCTGTATAATGCAGGTGAATCCTATTGGATTATGTGATGACACTGAACTTAAGCTATACCTTTCACTGGACTTAAAAGAATTAACATAAAGTACATTTTTAAAGCTATACTGTTGTGAGTTAAGAGTTTTTGAATGTTTCTTTAAATGATAGCCCAGATCAGCAGGAAAAATTGGACAATTTATAATAAAACAGTACAGTATACAGTAAATAATACACAGCTGGAAACAACTCAAGGAGAACATGGATATTATACAGTAATCCCTTTGTATACAAAAGATAAAAATGTAAGTTCCTCAATTCACTCTCAGGGTAAACCTTAAATCACAATTCAGCTAACTACTAGATTTCACAGATGATTCTTAATAAAGCTCCCATATTCATGGACCTAATCCATATTCATGGATATACTGTAGTAAGAGCTACAGAAACTTCTGAAGAATTGGCCAAAGGACTTTAAAAATATAATTTTGGAAATCTTCCAAAAAGACAGCAAGTTGGTAAAAACTTGCCAAATGTCGCCAAGACCCATCAGGAATGAATATGCCCTTGCTTTGCATTCCTCTTAAGCTATTTTTATAATTCAAATGTTCAATTCATACCATGGATCATATCGCTGCGGGTCGTTTGTATTTTAGGAAGAATTTATTGGCAAGACTTACAGATCAGAAATTTTAAAACGTTTATGTTTATTTAAAAAATCCTGATCCATGAGCTATCAGAAACAGAGCCAAAAGCTATGAGATTGACAATCTTCTGTTTTACCTAAAAGTAACAAATGGAAATAACAAATTAGGACCGGTTATTCTAGCTAGCTTAAGATTAACTATTATATAGGAATTGCATGATTCGCCAATTTCAGACCATTTCAGCATAAGAAAAATAATACTACAAGTTTGCAAAGCTGTTTATTTTCCAAATCTACAAAAATTTGTTATGGAGTATGTCAGATTTGTCATATTTGACAATTAGTTAATTTCAGTCCAGCCAGGTATCTAAATAGCATAAAAGTTACATTCCCAGATGAATTAATAAGAATTGATTTATTAGGCCCATACTCATGTAGTGAAGTTAACAAAAATAGATATTTACTCCATTTCGCTGATCATTTTTCAAAGTGGGTAGAAATAATTCCTCTCAAAACAGCTTCTGCTAAAATTTTTAATTGTAATGCAGTGCTGAAATATAATTTTTCTCATGATAGCATTTCTTATGATATTCTTATGCAAATCCCCTTTCAATCACTTTGAAGATACTCAATACAACCAACCAATATGTCTTAATTTTAAAGCTCCCAAAATTTAATTCCTGTTTTTTCTTTATACATCCACTGAACTATAAACAAATTATTTTTAATATGTCTTTTTAACAAACAATACAACTTTAAAATATTTGGATATTACCAACTTTATCTTGCCTTACTATACCCATGTAAAAATCTTATCTTATTGTTACGAATTTGGTATTTAAACAGCTAATGTTAGTTCAAGTGTAAATTAAATGGTTTTATTTCTTGCGCAGTGCAGCGCATGACGAATATTAAAAGAAGAAAGCTAAGCCGGAAAATTGAAAATACAAGAGCGCATGCATTAAACATTTAATAAATATCTCTTTTTGATTTCGAGAAAATACTAGAAAATTCTGGCGCGTGATTTTAAAATCTTATAAAAGGAGGAAAACCTCTCAGTTTGTGTAGTTGCTGCTTAGTTTGTTGTTGTTTAGAAAACTGCTCTTGTTGATTGTAGCGAATTCGTGGATTAGCTTTCTTTAGCTGTTTTGAATTACATTCTATTGGACATTTGAGTAGTTAAAAGATAACTACTGTGAGATATTGTAATACTGCATGATAATTTGAGAAAATTTAAGCATTTTTGTTGTGATAATAATAAATTTTTGTTCATTTTTCATCGGACTTGTGCATTCATTTCATAACAAACCCGTACGCACGCAACAATTTTTGGTGGCAGCGGTGGGATTTGAATGCCAATAACAAGAGCAATGGAAGAACAGTTAAGACAGTTAATATCAGCCTTTGCCTCGTTTAAGGAACAAATGAAATTGGGCCAAGAATCCGTTAAGGAAGAGATGAAGGCCATTTCAAGCTGGTCAATTAACTTTTAAAGATGAAATAAAAGTTGTTAAGGAATCTGTTAAAGAAGAAATAAAAGCCGTACAAGTCAAGATTGAAGAAAGTCAATACAAAAATGAAAAGAGAAATTGCCTGCATAATAGAAACCAAATTCGATGCTATGGAAGGCAGAATAGATGTGGTGGAAAATAAAGTGGGACAAATTGAGGAAAATGTTTCTTCTGTTAAAGAAAAATAGAAGGAAGAGTTTGTTCCGTTCAAAAACAAATCGAACAACAAATTGATGATAGGGTTTCAGCCGTTGCGAAAGTAGTCAATACTTTAAAGAAATTCGTAGCAACAGCAGGGAGCAATTTGGATGGTTTTAAATTCTTACCGATGCCTGCTCGTCCATCTCTGACACTATCCACATATAATGGGAAGACATCCTGGCAAGTGTATAAAACACAATTTTCTATCGTTTCAGATGCGAATGGATGGGATTCCCAAACTAATGCCTGTCATCTCGCCGCTTCTCTGAGAGCAGACGCAGCGGATATCCTGCAGACGCTTCCAGAAAACCAAAGACTTGACTTCGAAGCTTTATCCGGCGCATTGGAGCTGTGCTTTGGCGAGAAATGTTTAAAAGACTACAGCAGGCTTCAATTAAAATCCCGTCAACAGAAGCCCACCGAATCACTCCAGGAACTCACCACAGATGTTGAAGGGCTGTCCCACCTCGCCTTTACGGAGTGCCCAAGTGAAATGAGGGGAATCCTGTCGCTACGATATTTCATCGATGGCATCCGGGATTCTGAAATACAGAAAGCTATATAAATGGTGGATGTGAAGGATATAAAAAGTGCTCTGTTGTACGCCATGAAGTTGGAGGCAGCCCAGCAAGCAACTCGTAGAAATCACTACCCAGTCAGAGTTGTGCGAGTCCACGAGCCAGGGGACCAATTGATGGCTCGTTTAGATGATTTATCCAGACAAGTAGATGCTTTGATATGGAGTAGCAGTGAGAACAAAGTGGCTGTAAGGTGTTGGAGATATGGTCCTGAAGGTCACATATGACGGCATTGCAGAACACCCCAGGGCACGGATAATAAAACGGATGAGTTGACAATATGATCATTGACACAGGAGCTAATGTTACCATCATTAGGAAAGATGTAGCTGAACAGTTTAAAGATAAACTTATTTTGACGCCATCCTGTGCTACCCTTCAGACTGCGTCTGGTGATAAGATCGACATAGCTGGGAAGTTAAACGTGAACATCATGTTTGGAAGTGCCGCCTACCATCATACGGCTTATGTGGCGGATATCACAGATCCATGCATACTCGGATTAGACTTTCTAAGGAAATATAATTTTTCCTTAGACTTCAAAAACAATAAGCTGTTCTCAGCATCTGAAGACATGACGATCCACCTTCAAAAGGAATCATCGCCTTGAAACGCCGACGTCTCATGTGAAAGATCCTATTCAGAAAGCTGCCGAAATCTTACTAGGGTCGGAGAGAAACACCAGACTACCGGGTATTCACCATCACAGATGCTCTCTGGTCGAGACCTTCATCTGCCTTGTGACCGCCTGTTTGATCGCCATACGGATGCGCCTTCATCGCCTGAGGAACACATCCAAGATGTCCAAGCCCGTTTTGAAGTGATACACCGTTCCTCACGAAAGCGAGTGAACTTGGCGGCGGAGAAAGTGAAGACCAGATACAACGTGAGAGCTACTGGACATGGATTCAACAAAGGAGACAAGGTGTGGTTGTGGAACCCGATTCAACGAAAAGGACTCAGTCCTAAATTACAGTCACCTTCGGATGGTCCATATACAGTGCTGAACAGACTGAATGACGTCATGGTTCGGATTCGTAAGTCTTCGAACTCTAAACCTAAAGTCATTTATTACGACAGGTTAGCTAATTACTATGGCCATAGTACGTAATGTAAATAATTGTAAATAGTGTAAGACCATGGTCCTTTTTGTTTTTATATGTGTATTGATTTGATTTGCATTTAGTATTTGATTTGTATTTGATAGCATTTCATTTGTTTTATTTATTGCATTTATTGTTCATGTTGTTTATTATTGTAACGTAATGCTTATTAATGCATTTATGCCACAGTTGTAAGTTTAGCTTCCTGTCCAGGAATAGTACTGCCCAGGACGTGCAGTCCTTGGGAAGGGGGCAGTGTTACGAATTTGGTATTTAAAAAGCTAATGTTAGTTCAATTGTAAATTAAATGGTTTTATTTCTTGCACAGTGCAGCGTGTGACGAATATTAAAAGAATAAAGCTAAGCCGGAAAATTGAAAATACAAGAGCGTGTGCATTAAACATTTAATAAATATCTCTTTTTGATTTCGAGAAAGTACTAGAAAATTCTGGCGCGTGATTTTAAAATCTTATAAAGGAGGAAAACCTCTCAGTTCGTGTAGTTGCTGCTTAGTTTATTGTTGTTTAGAAATCTGCTCTTGTTGATTGTAGCGAATTCGAGGATTAGCTTTCTTTAGCTGTTTTGAATTATGTTCTATTGGACATTTGAGTAGTTAAAAGATAACTACTGTGAGATATTGTAATACTGCATGATAATTTGAGAAAATTTAAGCATTTTTGTTGTGATAATAATAAATTTTTGTTCATTTTTCATCGGACTTGTGCATTCATTTCATAATGAACCCGTACGCACACATTATTCTAACCAACTATTTTTAGTTTAAGAAACTTTCCTTTCCCTTCTGACTGCATTTTCCTGTCAGAATGTAAATTTAATGACGTATATGCATATCTGAGTTGGAAACAGTATTTTAGCAGCAATTTTAAGAATTCGCAATAGGAAAGTTACTTCTGAATTTATGCTGCGTAGTTAATTTAGTAGTCTTGTAGTTAAATAGTTAGTGCTTAGCCACTTATTTTAGATTATATTGATATTCTAGGATTGGCTTTGCTTTGTGCAGCCAATTAAATGGTTTAGCTAGAGTAGGAGCCAGTCGAGTAGCTAATCTTTACTTTATTGTGATTGTACATACTATTTTTTGATCAAGTTATTTGTGGCTACAAGTAGTGGTCAAATTGTGAGGACCAAGTGGGTGCATTTCTGTTTCGTTTACTTAAAATAAAAAGGTTATTATAACCTTTTTCTGCAGTCATCTGTTCTTTCAAAACCCAGCGAGAATTTGCTACTTCGTCTTTCAGTAGGGTCTACCAGTTTATGTCTCCAAAACACACTAGAAGACTCTTCACACTCATACACTTTCAAATCAATTAATTAGAAATTACTTACAGTTGAACTATCAGCAAGACTGGCTATAATTAAGAATAAATGCCATAAAACTATATTATCTTTATGCGAAAAGATAAAAATAAAAATGGAAAATTTAAAATTTTGCTTCATTACAAATATTAAATACTAAATAACATACAATATTAAATTTGAAACAACATAAAAAGCAATGAAAAATACATACAATATCATTTTTGTTGCGATGTAATGTGAATGAACTCAAAACACGTCCTCGTTTTAAACACAAAACTTGTATTAAATAATTGCACAATACAAGTATAAACAAGAAAATGACATATAAAACTTATAAATACGAGAAAAGAACAAAAATAGTGAAAAATAGACAACATTCCAGCTGCCTTGCGAATGTGTTCTTCTGAATCTGACAGTTCAACTGAATTCAATGTTCTTTGGCATAGTTCCAAATGTGAAAGGAGTCAGGTTGAGTTGTTCTGTTCCGGTGCACCGGAACAATTTTAAAGTATTATTTATATCATGTTTGCAGTATATGAATCAACAAAACTATTAATAAATTTGGGAGTTAAATGTGGAAACTTACTCGAAGAGCAAAAACCACATTGAACATGGTTATAGTAGATTGTTCTCTATTTGAAACATGAGGTAAATGAGTTGGATGTCCGATAAATCTTACATTTTCAATTTTCAGTTCAAATTTCAGCCCACACAATTCTGGTCTAACAGCAAATAGATTTGATAAAACTTTATCATCAAATCTGCAAAATAAAAACAATCATAAAACCAGACAATTATTAAAAAAACATTCTGCACAGAAGAAAATATTAAAATTTTTAAGGGCTTTAGTCACATTTTTCGATCGAAGCATAGTTAAAACCAAAATTATGCTTAAATTACACATTAAAAAAACTTTATTTGCAAAATTCTTTTTCTTCTTCATAAGCTCCATAGCCTGTTACAGGCCAAGGCTGTCTCTCCAAGTTTCCTCCACCTGACCCCATTTGGCACAATAGCCTTCCATCGGTTAACTACAATTAACCTCAACATCATCTGTACATCTAGTGGGTGCTCTTTCTTTTTGTCTTACTCACTCAATTCTCAAAAAGGTTATCTTTTTGGTTGGAAATACATCATCATATTTAAGCCCATGGCCCAGCCATCTGATATGAGATGCCTTTACGAGTCTCACAATATCAGTTTCATCATATTTCCAATATTTTCCATACAGTTCATGATTATAAAGAATTCTCCATGTGCCATTTTGTTGTACCGGTCCAAAGATCTTTCTTAGGGTTTTTTGTTTCAAAAGTTCAGAGCAGGTCTTTCTCTGTTCTGTTAAGTATCCAAGATTCACTTACGTAAATGGCAACAGGCCTTATTTGCAAAATTACCCCAAGCAAATAAATGTGATTTTATAGCACCTAGAACTAAACAATATTTAAAAAATAAAAATAATAAATGTCAATAAAATACTCAAGTATAGATAATAGAAGGCTTTTCTGTCAGTCTCATCAAAAGTACTGAAAAGTTTTCGTTCTAGTGCTAAACCACTGGCCCACTGGTTTTGATAAAATACAGTTCCACAGGTTGAGTATGTTTTCAAAAATCTCTTGACCCCCCCCCCCCGAAACAAAAATCTAGCACATCTTACCTTATTTCAAACCATTAGAATCTATTTAAACTTAAAATAAGAAAAAATACCCATTATTCTTAAAATAGCAAACACATTCATACAGAAATTCATTGCAAAACACAGAATTTGATACAAATCAAATTATTTAATTAAATGTCTTTTACACTTTTTAAACTATCATATCCTTGACATAAACATTTTATTTAAAACAATTTTTTATAAATTTTTTGTTTACTACAATCATACAATTTATTGGAATGCTAAAAACATATGGACAGTCCACCCTTTTTTCACAAATATATATTCATCATGTTTTTCACTGGAACTTTATTCTGCTTTTTTAATGCAAGTCTCTATTACAGGTGTGGCCAAACTTCATGAAAGTTTGAGAACACAGCTGAATTTTTCAACAGCTGCAAATCCATATTCATATTATTTAAAAAATAATGAGATTGATTTTGAATAGAAAGAAATATTTGATGCAAATGAAAATTTTGCATTTTTCATGTAATTTACATGATTGCACATATATATAACCAAAAAAAAAAAAAATCTTACATCTCTTGCTCTGCATTCAGAAGAGTATGTGCCAACGAAATATAAATCTGAAACTAGTGTACTAGGTTAGTCGATAGAAATAGTAAACACTTTCTTGTTTCCTTTATATTTGTTTGGTTTTAGGAGAAGTAAACTGAATTGGAAGAATATGTACTGGTCTTTGTAATTACAAATATGAGAATATATTTTCATTTGAATGTAGAATAAATCATTAATTTTAAACTTTTTTCTTTAACTCATGTGCAGTTTCTTAGAAAGAATAAAATAAATGACACAGGACAGCACTTATTGCCCAGAAATTGTTATTTGAGGAAGAAAAAATATTTGAAAACTAAGATATTATTTTCTAAAGGCTTTTGCATAAAAATTAATAATTTCATTTTTACATGAAGACCAACATTCTCAGATCAAATCTAACTTTCAATAACTAAATTCATTCGTTAGCTATGTACTGGAATATAAGTCACATTTTGTTTTTTCTACAGTTGAGGCATTCGAATCCTCAGATCTCAAGAATCTTCAGAAATATTTTAAATTCCAATCTTCAATACTTAGAGCTTTTTTTTTTTTTTTTTTTTTTTGTTATTTGAATCTTCTGAGTCTAACCTATAAAACTGTCAACATTTTAACTTAAATTTTTCATTCTGATTTTGTTAAATACTAAATTAAAAAACACAAGGAATAACAACAAAAATAGATAAAAATATAGGTTGCCAAACTGACCTTTTTTTAAGCTAAATTTCAAAAATTTAAAGCATCTCTCACACACATATTTGCTGCTTGATTGGCATCAGAAAAGTCATTTGACTTCTTCTTCTTCTTTTTTTTTTTTTTTTTTTTTTTTTTTTTTTACAAGAAAAAGAGATGTTATTATTTTATATAAGCTTACTAAAAAAGTTTGACTTTTTTTTTTTTTTTTTTTTTTTTTAAATTTCAAATTTCAGACTAAGAATTTGTGGCAATTTCTTCAGTACTATAGCTGTGGCTTTTTCATTTCCTTGTCTAAAGAGAACTGCTTTCTGCATAATTTTGTTTCGAAAGTTAAAACTGCCAAGAAATTCCTTGAAACTAAGTTCTGGCTATATATGTAAGGTATTCTAATGCTGGCCGATAAATTTTTAACCAAGTGTGACAAATTTGGCTCTAAAATCCGATATTTCCTCAAAATGTCACGAATAAGTAATATTTTCTTGATTATAATTACATAATAATCCTCTCATTTTGTACCTTGACTCTTTTTCTTCCAATATACATTTATTCCAATATACAACCTGAAATTGGATTTTTTTAAGGATTAACAGAAATTTTTGTGAACGGGAAAGCCATTCTTTTATGAAAAAATTTACATCCATAATCCTTGGCTATATCCATATTAACAGCAAGATGCCATTAAACATTGTCCTGAAACAAAAATTACTGTTTCAAAAACAAATCTGAACTTTTCTTCCTCATGGCAAAAAAATATTTTTGATACATATGCATAAGAGTCATCATTCACTCTCTGCCCACAAGCTGGACATAATGACATCCATAAATCAATACATAACCTGCAAGAACAAGTTTTGTCAGTGAGTCATATGTTATCCCATTTGAAGTGCATCCAAATGACCAAACACTGAAGGTTTTGGCAGTCCAGCTGTAGGTTCAGCCATCTCAATGTACAAAATTAAAAAATTTCAGTCAGCTCTTCCATAATCTCCCTGCACACACACACACACACACACACACACACACACACACAAAAAAAAAAAAAAAAAAAAAAAAAAAAAAAAAAAAAAAAGTTTGGTTAATTTGTAAAATCATTTAATTTATAAAATGGACAATTTGTAACTTTATTTGGTTATACATCTATATTTTTAAAGAATTCTAAATTAACAATTTGGTTTTTTTGTAACTTTGCTTGATTTAGATTCACTTTTATATAAATCATCACAAAATGTACTTTTAGCCACCAGCAGCCTTTATGTATCTACGAGCCCAATAAATAATATTACTTAGTTATAATGCCAATAAATAATATGATAGCCACAAATATATTCTCATTTGTAGTCTCAGCTACAATAAAAGCAAGAATCAGAATGCATCTGAAGATTTTCAGTGCTATTGTGAGAACTTGAACAGAAATACTGCTCATAAAACAAATGTTCCAAAGACTTCAATACGATCAGAAATAAAGAAATTTACATAAGATTCATGCTTCATTTGTATTAATAGGGAAGACTGATAGCCAAGATCTGAGAATTTAATGTGATGTTTAATATAAAAAAAATTAATCAGTTTGGCATTTTCCTAACCATCTATTACTATTATTTGACTTTAAAATCAGAAAAAGAATTGGACAACTCTGCAAGAACACTATGCAACATTATGAAGTTTTAAGATATAAAAACTTGATGTTTAATAATACCTTCATTTTATCATATATCTGTTGCAGGAAAGTAAATTTAAAAAAAAATTGTTTGCATGATAAATGAGGAAACTGGAAAAAAGAATTGAACAATCTGTAATTTAAGATTGAGACAAGAAATAATATAGTAAGCATAAATAATACAGTACACATTAAAGAACATTTCCATCATGAGACAAGTTTTTATTATGATGAAATAATCAAATTAAAATGTAATGAAATTAAGTGGATCAATTATTGATAATATAATGATTTTTTAAAGCAATAATAATAAAAATTGAACTATGAGTTTTTAAAATTCCAAGCTGTTCCCTTTAAAAGAAATTTTAAATGTGGTACAAATTCATAATATAGAATGAATCAACAAAAAATTGAATCCCAATAATGAAATTGAAAATGAAATGCTAAATAAAAATGTTTTCAGAAAAAAAAAAAAAAAAAAAAAAAATTAGAATTATTATTCCATACTTTCATTAAACTAAATGGACAAATTAGAGGCATTTGAAACTAATAAATGCTAGTGACAGATAATTCTTGTGGTAATTCTAGTATTCCAACATATAAATACAATAAATTATTACCTCTGTAAGCTACAATCAGCAGGTTCAAAATAGTCTTCCCTATAAAATGAAAAGAAAAAAAAAGTTAAATACAACAACTTCACTTTAAAGTATTAAATGCATTAATTTCATTAAAGTAGCATTTAATTCATTCAAATGCATTGAGACAAAGTCATTTCAGATAAACTTTTTATTAAATATTCCATAATCATGCTAGCTTTTATAAAAAATCAAAATGGGTAATTTTTATGTGAATCTTTTTTTAGAATAATTCCAAGTTTAAATTAATAAATTCGAAGTTTGCTTTTTAACATTTTATTTGCATTTATACAACAAAAAGAATTAATAAATAACTGCAATTGCAATAACAAAACGGTTACATTCTCGTTTAAAGTTATTACAATTTTATTTTTGCTACAATTATTGTTTTTAAAGCAATATCCCAACCAAAATTTAAAATATATGAAAAAATGAACACACTTTAATATATAAACATTAATAATAACAATAATTTAAGTATATGAATATGAATAAGAAAATGACATTTTATAGGATAAATGATGTTAAAGAAAACTCGTAATAAGTAAGTTTCCAATTTCAAAAATTTTGGGTAGAAGTACATTTTAGGGCACTCCTTGGTGAAACTTGGAGATTTCTGGAGGTACACGGATACCGAGTTCTGTTTAACTTGTTATTTTGGCTTGCGTAGCGGCGATTTTTCGGGTGCAATTCTTTGACTTGTTATTTTGGCTTGTGTAGCAATGATTTTCGCGTGAAAAATCGCCGCTACACAAAGCCAAAATAACAAGACAAAGAATTGCACAAACTTGGTATCTATGAACACATCGACCTATTTTCACTTAAAAAAGTATCAGAGAATTGCACAAACTAGGCTAAATCGCAGCTATGCAAAGACAAAATAACAAGACAACGAATTGCACAAACTCGGTATCCATGTACACATCGAACTTTTTTCCCTTAAAAAAAATCCTACAGGGTTGCCACTCAAACAGGAGAATGAAATTCCCTGACTTTTCCAGGTTTTCCAGGTGTGTTTCAAGAAAATTCCAGTCTATCCGCATAATGTACGTTGGCTGTGCTAAGAGGTAAATTAATTATGGTATTACTTGTATTGTGTAGCAAATTCACTTAATTATTCAATAAATCCCAGAGGACTTTTATTCCTAATTATTCTTGGTATACTTTGATAATTTTGTTTAGTTTTCCCCTTAAGAAACTTAATAAAATTTAAGATATATACATTGGATAACAAATGTATGTTTTTATTAATTAATTACTCATGATCATCACCAGTTCAACACGAGGCTAATCCGGTCCTTATAAATCACAACGCAATGCTAAATAGTTAGGTTAGATTTTAGGTAAATTTAATTTGCATGAGGTATGTTCTTAAAAGGCACTTAACACTTGAAAACACAAATATAATTATAATAGTTTTTGTTTTCTCCACTGAAGATTGAGATTAGAAATCTTCCCAATCTGGAATAAAATAAGGCTTTTTTTGCAGATATTCTGCAGCTCTAAACGAAAGAAAGAAATCTATTTTAATAAATTGAGGTATTTTATATTAATTTCGCAGCATACATAAGGAAAAAAATATGTGCATTAAATTTCGTTGATGGTATGTCATCATACTGCTATAATTAATTTCAGGATTATGCCAGAGAAAATTTCCTGAAATTTGGAATATTATTTACTAATAATAAATAAATTTAGAGGGAAGAAAGCAACATTAAATTGATACAAATAACATAAAAATAAGACAATTACTTAAAAATTGAATTAGAATAATCAATGATAATTTAGCGAATATAGTTATATTAACATGGTTTAGCCTAGATGACTGATTACTATTTTATTATTTTACTGCAAAATGGCAAATAAGGTATTTATTTAAAAAGAAAAAAAAAAAAAAGGTTTAAAAGATTTTGCAGTAAAATTCCTAGTATATGCTAAGGCTTTGGCACGATTTTGAAAATTGTCACCAGCACCTAAATGACCCATTTACTGCTCATGAAAATTGTTCGCCAAGATCTCAAAATGTACCCCTTTACATGCGCATCATGAATGTCGCCAAATACGTGGAGGCTATTCTAACCAAAGAACGTCTATGTAAAGAAAGAAAGGTTCCATACAAGTAAAATGCTATTACGCTGCTAGAATGCGGAGGGAAAATTCACCAAGGGATTTGGCGACGGAACCTGGCGGCCAGAATTTCCCTCTCCGCGATGTGTACAGGAAATTGAGAAACACGTGTTAAGAAGAAACGCTCTTTGACAAAAAGAAAACTACGAAAATCCGTTTTTAAATTATTGCGAAAAATCCAAGAAGAAACGTTTTATCAAAGGGCGTTTCTTCTTGGACTTTTCGCAATAATTTTAAAAACGGATTTTCGTAGTGTTTTTTTTTTTTTTTTCCTGAAAATAACTAATCTCATGAATTAATTTACTTTGCAAACCAAAAAATATTTTCTTTTCCTTTAGAGTTAACCACTTGCGCTAAGACTAAACTTCACGTTTGCGGTGCCATGCGCTACAATATAACAAGCGGTAAAGTGTCTCATTTACGCCGCTCCGCATCTGCGAGTGCAATCCAGAGCTGTAACTCGAGAAATAAACAATCTCGTTGTTAGGCGACGTGTTCACCACGTTATTTTCATTTTTGCGATAAATGCTTATCGACGTGGTGTTCACGTCGCTCGCGGTTTGAGACAAAAGCATCTTGACGTGCGTGGCACATCTTTTTAGCGCAAGTGGTTAAAGAAATTTTAAACGATATTCATTTTATGAACTCTTGATAACGTGACCTTCGAACTTCGACACCGGTTTCAAGCTTTGGCGACAGATATATCAGATATGCACAGCTGTTTCCCTCTATGATGGAACGGAGCCACAGCCACGTCTGTTGCAGAGAGGTTTTCCTTCTTTACAATACATATTCTTTGATTCTAACCTCCATGGTACCGTATACTAGGATTAAACCCATTTTGTTTTATACGAGAACAGGTACTTTAATTCATGCACTGCACATGCGATTCTCGAGAATACTGGAAACCAAAACTTGCGGGAAAGTTGCTTTGCCTTTCTAAAAGACAATCAAATTGGAGCTGCGAAAATTGGCTCTATGCCAGCTACCCGAATGACACTCACGTGATACATAATTCGCCAAAAAAGTTATCTCTTCCGACGTCGGCACAAAAATCGCTTTTTTTGGCGGGATCGTTGTATGAACTTCCCTGACTTTTCCAGATTTTGACAAAAATACTTAAATTCCCTGACTTTTCCCTGAATATTTTGGTCAATTTTCGAATTCCCTGACTTTTCCCGGTTCTCCCGGTTTTCCAGGTAGCGTGGCAACCCTGATCCTAGAATTGAACAAAAATGGCATTGCACACTCCCTTGACTTTATCCATGTACATATCGACCTATTTTCACTTCAAAAAACCATAAGAGAATTGCACAAACTATGCCTTATACAATCCCTTGAATTATACAAAATCTCAACAAAATACATTTTAAACCGAACAATGAAATAACATAAGAAAGGAAAAACTTGTCATGCATTTAAGCACTACATAAAGCAAATATCCACTTCCCTTATTTAGAAATTCGTTCGCCTTCAGTCTGTGGCACACAAAATTCCTTAACAGCATCCAAAAAGTTTTTAAAATTATCTGAACTAGAAACCATATATTGGCATCGCCACATAAATTCACAAAAATAAGAGTAAAAAACATAATATATTGTTCCAGACTGTCAGGAAAATGGCTACTAAGTAAACCTTCATTTATACACCAGTCAATTAATGCACTTTTCCCCTTTTTATTCCAAATCATACAGAAACTTCTAATTAATCTTACTAAATTCAGCCATTGTACCATCTAAGCAATGAAACAAGCAATCTACTTCCTACGCAACACACACCACAAAAGTCCATGCAAAACATCCCATGATTCAAAATTTCCCGATATAATATGAACAATTATGTCATATAGGGTCTCCATAACATTCAACTACTCAGGTTATTAGGTTCAATGTTTCTTCTAACCTTCTTCGGAAACATACAATGACCTGACTAGAACAGAGAGCTTACTAAAGCTATGTTCACTAATTGTAGTAAGTAGACAGGATACAGACGAAGGGTATACAAAACCCTTTATTTTTTTTCTTTATATACAATGACTTCCGTACTTCGGAATACAATGACCCTCCACTCGGGGTCTAACTTAAAAGATATCAAAATAAAACTAAACTCTAATTTAACTTTAGAATAAGATTGGCCTTATAATAACAGGAAGCGTATGTAGCACAGAGACTGTGAACACTACAATACGTTTAATTTATCAAGAGGATTAAAACCTCTGGCCTGGAAGGCAAAGTAGCAACTGCGTAACTTCTAAGGTAAGCGGCCTGCTTCGAACTCACGGCTTCCTTTTTTCTGCTTGGCAAAAAGGCCACACTTAAATACTTGGCGTTCGCCAGACAATTTTGCATAAACTCCTTCACGCTTATAATTCTGGCCGGAAGTAGAAAATAAGAAGTGATAGTAAAGATTTAAAATAAAATAAACGTTAGTAAAACTTAAGATCCTTACAAGGTTGCTATGAATGATACAACAACTCGGCGATAAACGAAACAACAACTTGGCAATAAATGAAACAACTTCACAATAACATTAGGGGTACCCTAAAGTCAACTCTAACCAAATTCTGATCTCAAATATTGCCAAAATAGTCACAAATCACTGATAAATTCATTACTGAGTAATAAAATTACACTTGAGAATGTGACAAAATATTTTTTATAATATATTGAAATATTTATTATTTCTGCTTTTGGTTGTTAATTTGCTTTTAAAAAACACAAAACAAAGCACTATGAATCTATTTAGCTAATAATGAGTAGAGATACTAAAAATCAAAAGATCTAAACATAGGAATTTTAAAACCATCTCTTGGGAATAAGGTTTTATAGTCCAATATTTATGCATATAATATACTGAAATCACTTGCTCACATTATAAAATAAATATTTACCTCTAAATAAAGAAATAATGAAAACATTAATCCTAAAAAATTAGAGATGGCTGATTTTAGAAACAATGGCCCAATGTTTCCTTTTAGGTTAGTAAAGCGAGGTTTCATTATTTATGTTTCATTATAAAATATTTTGGTACTTTTCCATTTCGCCAGCGCAAAGGATAAAGTCGCCAACAATGGTACAACTGATGCCAAACGGAATATCTTCACTGGTAACCTTTTACGCCTTATTTTCAAAACAAGTCGCAGCCATTTCTTACCAGATTGATTGTTTCTTTCAATACTGGCATATAGTTCCATACAATTTTTACCAGATAGTTCAATTTTATGCCCTAAGGCCATTCGCGGTAATTAAGTCAATTAGAATGCAATCACACCTCTCCCGAAGGCGAAAATATAGAAAAGGCAAAATCAAGGGTTAAATTCATCAATTCTAATGAGAATGCACTAGCGATGTAAAGCACTGTGGTTTTACATAATTTCTAAGTTCGCTATTTGTACGAATTGAAATAATTCTTGCATTTAAACCATTTTATTGTTTATTATTTATTGTTATTATTTATTATTTTATTGTTTATGTATTAATGTTGCATTTAAAACAGATTGTATTCAAAATTAAGATTTAACTTGAAATTAATGTAGATAATTAATGAGAGAATGATATTTTTGTAGCATAGTTTACGTGAGATGAGATCACTTGGGGTCACGTGATACGAACCAGCGAATCAGGATGCTGAACCATGAAAGCATAATAAATTCCTGAATTAAATTCTTTTTACAAATGTATTGTCTTTATTCATTGGCTTTTTACAAAATTTTAAATAATACTAAAATGTTTATGCCTTCAAAATAAAAAATTCTTAGAACTAACATTTGTTAAAATTTTTTATGTGTATACTGTACGTTGTCGCCAACAAAGTCTGCTTGGTGAGATTTGCGCCAGCAAAACGGATAAGTACCAATATTTCGATCAAATCTTAAAACGAGTTCAGAATGGAAAAACAAAGGACAGAATATTCGATACTCTTCCGTTGTTGTGACCGGATTCAGAAAGGTATGTATGTTATACATGTGTATATGTATATATGTGTGTGTATACACAGAGATACGTATGTATGTACACATGTGTAGATGAACACATGCATCCATCCATCCATACATTTATGAATTCAGTCCTGATAACTGAAGAGTACCGAATATCCTTCTTAAGATGACTGATTAAGGCAGTACTGCCTGCAAATTTGAATTAAGCGCATTTCATTAAAAAAATATTAATTTTGGGGGAAATTGAAAACAAGAATGTTTATTATAAATTAAGATAATCTTTATTATTTCTGCATTAAATTAAATTTGAATTTTTTTTTTTTTTTAAATTTCTATTGGATTAAAATTCAGTAAATTCTTATTTTTCCTTATTACAATGAGAAATTCTCTTAGTGGTAAATGATTACATAAAATAAGAGTAATAATTTATGTTTAACACTCACTTAGGAATGCAGAAATCATCTTTTTGATCATTCAAGAGAGCATATGGACTTCTCTTGCTGTCTAAAAGGAATTTAATAAAAATATAAATATTACAAGAAATATACCATAATTTAAGATTCATTATCCTGATCATACAAACGTACACACACTGGAACCACTTCATAATGGTGCTGCACTCTTATATAAGTTGGCTGCTGTTCAAAAAGACAGAAATTGTATCATAAAATATGGCTGCATGCAGAAACTAAAGATCAGTTTCTCGCTTGAAACTGATCACTGGCACCCTTATGCGAATTTTTTTTCCACTTTGCATATTTATTCAAATTATGATTTAATTTATATTAATTAATTGATTGCTGATAGTTATTTATATTTAATTATTTATTATTTTCTTGCATAGGATGCACTGGGATTATATTTTCAACGTAATATTTTCTTCTGGATTCTTTTTTTTTTTTTTTTCTTTTATAGAACACAACTTTTCTTTCTTTTTTTTGGTCCTAAACACAGCTCATAGACTGCTATGCTAAAACAGTTGGGAAACAGAAAAAAAAAAACAAGATACTAAAATGGGGGAGCTAATACTCCACTACTAACAGAAAAATGCTTTTTCATATTTAAAATACACATGCTCATTGACAGTAGAAAGAAAATCGGATAGGATATTTTAACTATTAGCTAGAACATACGAAAAATGAAATATTTGAAAGAATACCAAAGATTTAGTACAAAACCCTTTTATTTAATTTACAGTCTACATTCATTCCAAAAATGAAAGGATTAAGGACGCACAAGTACAAGAATTTATCGCCAAACTACCTCTTACCATATTCTAAAGATTAGCCGAATTTGGTACCATAAAATAAGATACAATATGAATATGATCTTATCATAAAGATCTGATAGCTTAACCGTACGCCACTCATCCTCGATCAGCCTTTGACGAGCTTGGCTTGGCAAGTAAAAATGCAACGGTGCTAACGAGTTCGTTGCGGAAGAAAACCCATCCTGTTCAATTCTCTAGGACAAATTCGGAGATATTTTATAATTATGTGAAAAATTATTTCATATGTTATCGTTCATAAAATAGTTTATACATTATTTCGTTATTATGAAAATAGAATTCTTTAAATAAATATATATATTTAAAAATCTAACTTCATACTAAATAACTGATACATGAAAACAGACAAAATATAACATAACAGAAAACTTTTCATTAATACATAAATTAAAAATGAACGTACTTTTACAGTTATTTTCTTTACTTCCCTCACTATCAAACGGATATCGAAAGAGCAAGCGATCACCTTTACTCCCAGATGTTACCAAAAATAATCCTGATGGATTAGCTTCATCCATTTAATATGGTAAAACTATATCACAATAACAGATTTAGCGCCAATTTGGTAAATATTTATTTAATGCTAAGCTTTACATTGACAATTTGATTTGGAATTGTGTTGCCATATTAATATTTCAAAATATTTTAAAGAAATACTTAACATCTTTCAGGAAGACAGTTTCTTTGAACTAAAAACTCCATGCTGAAATCATATTCTTATTAATTTCTTTATCTTTATAATAGATCTCTAATTTAATCCTTTTTATAGTTACTAATTTAATCCTTTTTTGGATTGTTTGTTATTTGTTCAGAAGCTGCAGTGTATAGAGTTTCATTAAGTTTATACCAATTCCTTCACATATGATGCTATAATGCAGTAATTAAATGCAGTAATTATGGGTAATGAAGTAAACGCAGAAGCTGTCATTTTCAATACTTAAAGGTATGTTTGCGAAAACAAGAACTTTATGTGGCAGAAACAATAACTATTACTTATACTTAAATTTTAATTGCTCAGACAACAACAATGGCAGCTTTATCTGAAAATACCGTAGTATATAAATTATTCCCGACTGTTAATGCTGGAAATAATAATTGTTCCTCAAATCTTGGAAGTTTAGAAAAAATTGCCGAAAATTATATATCTAGACTAAGTGGATTTCTTAATCGTTACATATGGCAAAACGATTGTTTTAATTTGCATGTTGTTGAAGAAAGTCCAGGTAATTTTTCTAATTATAGAGCAAGTTTGAACATGTATATTTTCATTTTCTTTTACTTGTCTTTTTCCTGGATTTTGTTCATTTCTCTGTATAGTTTCGTCAGCGCATTTGAAAGGAATTACTTGTTTTGAAGACAATATAGAAGATGAATGGTTTATCGTGTATCTCTTATTTTACCTAACGGAGAAATACCAAGATTTAGTTGTACAGTAAGTCTTACGTCTTTTTATTCAGTTATGTCACACTTAATTCCATCAAAATTAAAAAACAGCGTTTTTAATTTATATAAAATCTACTTATTATTTTAGTGTTTAAAACACGGCTGTAATGATCTAATTTTTTCCTTTACGGTGTTAAACTCTCATATGGTATCCAGTTAAATTATTTAATGTTTTCTTATGTAAACAAAGGATATATGCCCTTAAAGGAAAGACTGAAAAGGGCTATTTGTTGTAAGAAGTGAAAGCTTTCATTGAAGTTTACCATGAAAAGCTACCCATTCCATGGGAGTAAAATTGGTAAATTTTTATGAGGGAGGGGGAGTTTATTTTGTTGAAAACTGAGTCTTTCTATGTACTGTACTCTGGTTTTAGAGCCATAGTTTTCAACACCCGGGGACAAATGAAGATTTCGTACCCTCACCCTGTCTTCTCAAAAATGGAAAACATTTCAAACTAAAATTTGGTAACATCTGCTTGGCACCTCTTGAATGCTGTGCCCGGGGACACTTATTCCCCTCTTGCCGCACCGTAGCTACACTACTGCTCTGTTTAGAGTAAAATTGCATTTATTTTATTATTATTCATTTGTTTGGTATTGGGACTAGTGTTAATTAGCTATATAATGTTTGTGGTACATTGTGTAATCACTTGAAATCATTATACCAAGTGATTGATGAAAATATAAAATGCATTGTGTATTAATTTTATGATTATAAATATGCCTTCGAATTATGCTTGATTCAGCCTGAAGGAAATTGTTTTACGTGTTTCAAAGTAATGACATGGGTTTCTCTCCTGTTTTGAACTAGCAATATATTTGGTACACTATTTAGTAAACAGTAATTAACATACCAATTGATTGGCAAAAAATCATCCGTTGGCGTTTCCGCAGTGGATCCGTTGGCGCCGGTGCGTATTTATTCGCCAAGCTCACCAACGGCTAATCAGCCATGATTTTAGCGGTGTATAGTTAAGTTGCAAGATACAGTCAAAAGTCGTTAATTCTAACACCCATAATCCGGACCTCAAAGCTACAAACTTTCTGCGCATGCATCGCGTTGACGCATGCGCGTAAGACCTTTACGGCTGCGAATATGAATGTGCGCGTGCGCAAAATATGTTTACGAATGCGCGTTTAATGTACAATGGACGGTATAAGCTAAGCTAAAATTATCTATTTCAGTTAATGTTGCAGATTGCGTTGTTCCTTAATCTTCGAATTGGATCCGGCTTATTATTTTTTGCAGACTGTTAGAGCAATTTTATAAAAGTAAGCTTGAACTTTCGATTATGTCAAATAGAATTTCTAATATATATTTATTAATATGTAAAGGATCTACAAAGCGAAAGTATGTTTCGAAGTTCATTAAACAAAAAGTGGAATTGCTGCAAAAAATGGATAAAGGCATATCCTTTATTTATCTAAACTTTAACGTTTATTTATCTAAACTTTGTTTATCTTTAATGCCGGGGTGTGCAATGAATTGGAAGTTGATCTGTCAGCACTATCCTTATCTTCAGGGCAGATGTTTTTATTTTATTTGGCTTATAATTCCTTATTAAATGTAGTATTTCATCTCGATGTACTCCGTCTTTCATATGATTTAAATCAAATTCCTCGTCATTATAATTCGCTTCCGATAGCGAAGAAAGTGACAGAGGTTATTGAAAACGAAAAAATTTCGATTGACAAATTAGTCAGTATTCTCGACACAGCAATTATAGGACTTGAACAGCGGAACTTTGTAACTGAACAAGAAATTATGTCTGTTTATAGAATTAAAGAGAATGTATTATCACATAAAAAACGAAGCAACTTAAACAACTTACATTAAAAGAAATGTTTAATAAAGTAAACAAATAAAATATTAATTTTTTTTTTTTTTTTTTGTAAATTTTGATACCCTTTAGATCATAATTGTTCTTTATTTCATAAATTACGGTTTCATATTTTTAATTTTATAATTTCTGCATGCCATCTTACCAGATTTAAACTGATGATCTATAATCCGGAAAAATCGATAATCCGGAATCGCCGAAGTCCCGACGAGTCGGATTAACGACTTTTGACGTATTTATCATAAGCAGATTTTATTGTACAAGTCAAGTTATAGAATTAGCATATAAGTAAAATAAATAGGTTGATAATGACATTGCGTGTTAACCGGGAGGATGCACGCTGTTATTTAACACGAGAACTCGCGTCGCAATTAAATGACATACAAATGAAACGTATTATTACAATCAGTAAAATAATGCATTCTGTATTAATTGCAACATTTATTATATAAAATAACTTTAAAATAATGTTAATTTAAAAATTAATAACAAATAGAAGTACTTTACATTTTCTTCAGATGACTAGGAATCATTGATTTCTATGAGAAATGTTTGGTTTTTTTATTTGAGTGCAATTATAAGCAATTTTAATGCTGAATTATTACATGGACAATGAGTTATATAATTAATATTGAAATCTATTAGGCTCAAGAAGAATTAGATATTTTGTAGTTTATACACGAAGCTTCTGTTTCACAGTTTCTTGACATATTTTTTTTACACTTCACACATACAGTTTTTGATTTTCTGTCTTTTTTTCTTGAGCACATGTAACATCTCTGGTAACATAATTTTTTTTTTTTCTTGTTTGCGAATCTTCTAGAGAACCTGTGTTGTATTCCTACTGTTTCTGTTATGATTTCAAATGAGGATCTAAAAGTGCAAAGGCCAAATCAGAAGTGCCTCCTATTTCTGAACTTCTCTGGTGGAGTTTTAGTAGATAAAAGCAAGATCCTTGAATTTATGCCGGCAATATTTAATAGCGAAAATAATATGGCCATCAGTTTGATATTCTGGCCACAGAATAAGTGCCACCCGTTTCAACTATATCAACTGCTCCTTTTGTCATGTTATAAAACGTAATTAACTTCAGATTTCTTCAAATCTCCCGTGCTTTCATCAATATGGTCATCATTGTGCATAGTTGACAAAAGGTTAACACATTTATTCTTTTCAGCCATATAAGAAAGTAGCATTGTATCCTTTTGAAACCCCGAGAGAGTTGAATGCTGTTCTCTATTCTTATTCGACACAAATTCAGGTGGGATAATCTTATCCTTGCATATTGTTCCAACGATAGAAATTTAATTTTTCTGTAAGAAATTGGCCAATTCATAACTGGTATACCAACTATCTGTGTCAAACAAAACATGACAATTCTGAAAAATGTTTCTTCCAGAATTGTATAATGGAGCTAGGATGCACTTTGCTTTGTCACAAGAACTGTTGACTTTCTTGTATGACCCATCTGGCTGCTGACATGAGTAAATCTCCATGTTCAAAGCATATAAGGTTCTAAAATCAACCACAGCAAATATCTTTATACCAATATCTTGCAAGGTTTTCTTAGGCATATACTGCCAAAAGGAGCATCGTCCTTCGAAAAGGTTCTAGCTTTTCAGTCCAAAGTCATGTATTCCCCGTACATGATATAATTTCCTGACAATTCTTCGACAAAATTTTCAAATAAATCTCTTATTGGAGCTAATTTAAAACTCTCTCTTCTGTCTATCCTATAGTTCCGACATTGATCGACATCGCAATGGCATTCTGAAGAATCGAAAACAAACTTCTTCTGAGTTCATTTGACTTATGATCACTAAAAATATCCAATCTTGTTACCTCCAAGATACTGAATACTGAAGATTCAAACTTGGATCAAACTACCAGTATTCAGCAATTGTATTGCTCAACTGCTTGTGAACTTGAACAAAAATATGAATATCTTGTTAGTGAAACCCACGACGTAAAAAAATTGGGAAAATTTATAAAGTTTTCAAGATTAAAACATGGTTGATTTTGTTATGAATCCCATGATTCTGACGTGTTTTAAATACACTCCTGCTTACACGGATAGAGGCGGAATGATCTTTGTCCTGCTTACAACAGATACATCATGTCAATGTAGAATCTGAAGGAAAGTTTAGGTTATTCGAATACGGCAAAGAATACCGGCTACGGACCTGAAGAAAGATGCCATTTTGAACAACTTTCTAAGGGAAACTCACTTGTATTTGCATCACATATGAATAAAACTAGAAAAATCAACCATGCAGCCAGCCCTTTAACCAATGATATGAAACCATATCAAACTACCAGTATTCAATATCAGT